TAAAATATTTGTTAAATCAGCAAGGTACATTGTTGCTGAAATGAAAGTATCATCTAATTGTTCATATAAAATTTCTGCAAGTTTATCTCCTTCAATATAATCATTCAGAGTAGACAATACAGATTTCATGATTTTATGTGAATTACTCACAGAATTTGGAAATGACAACCACCTAGTATCACATATATTTAATACTACAAGTGATGGCTCTTCATTAATTTCCTAATTAAAATGAAAATTGTTAATAAAAATAAATGAAAAACAGATTAAAAAATATAAATATAATTACCTGCATCAACTTCAACATTTGTTGTCTTTTATGAGATTTTGAAAAATAACTATACAAGTTTTTCATATTTCTCATAATATATAACATCTTTTGAAGCATCTTTTCCAGCTAGATGGAGCTTCTGTGATATACAATGGTTTGAAGTCATAAATGGATTGATTTTTTAAATCTTGCTGCAACACCGCTTATGTATCCTAATAATAATTTATTTTTCAGTTAAGATTAAAAAAAATACTAAACTTTTACTTAATTAAATATTAATTCATACCAATTATATTAGAAGCACCATCACTTCCAAAATGAATAATTTTATCATAAGATATTTCTTTTGAATTACAAAATGTTATAATTTGGATGAATATATTTTCACCATCAGTCAAGTCTAGGTTAACCATACCTAAATACCTCATATATGGTATATTATTGACGATATATTTTTCTACTATTGCTAAATATTTGTCATCATCAACACTGTTGGTTTCATCAATCATTATGCTTCAATAAATTGAGGAATTTAATTCTTCAAAAAGAGATTTTTTTATTGTATAAGCAATACTATCTAAAAAATCAACACCAGATATATGATTATCATAGCTTCCATATTTTGATTTAGATGATGATGGTTTTCCTAATGAAGCAGGTTTCAAGGTAGAGACTTTATCACTAACTATTAATTCTTTATTATTTTCAATTTGTAGAGGTGTTAATTTGCACAAATCAGGATAATTGTTTAAAGGAATATTATTTTTTGAGCAGCAGTAAATAATTCTCATTAAAGAGATAATTTTTAATTTTTCTGTACTAATTCTTGAAGTATCTTGTTTAGGTGTTTCTTCAGATTAGAGGTTGGAATCGACTAAAATAGTCAACTAATTTAGTCAACTATTTAGTCAACTAATACTAATTATTATTATTGTCTGGCCAATTATAAATGAAAACATTTTTTGTGGTACAAACAAATTTAAAAAATAATGGAAAATAATAAAAATAAATATACGGAGTATCAATATTATGAAGAAGATGATAATGGTGGTGTTGGTGCTGGTGTTGGCGATAATTATCCATGCGAAATA